ATAATCTGTAAACAGAGAACCGGGCAGGATAATATTGATATAATTGCATTCTACAATGAAATATTCATTCCTGCTGTAAAGCCTTTGCTGGGAGAACTTGGTTCTGCTGGAATAACTACAAGAACAAGCCGAGTTGCTGAAGCCAACAATAGTTACGATGGTACTTGTTTCATTTTTTTCCATTATTATATCCTGAAGTGTCGGTGTTATATTCTATCCTTGCTGCTTGTGCAGGCCATTCTAATTTTGCTTGTTCTATCTTCATTCCCTAATTAGGTCCATGTCCTGGATCTCCTAAAGTTTCTCCTTTTCCAAATCTCCCTGATATGTCCCCAAAGAAAGTTTCTGCAACCCACAATGTATATGTGTCTCCATTGCGGACATCCAAGGTACTAAAATCCAGTTTTTCTACTCTTCATTGAGTTACTAATTTTCCATTTATAGAAAAACTGACTTGCACGTTTAAGATTTGACCAGCCTCATGGAGCATGTTTGAAAAAAATATTTTAGTGCTTAGAACAATTGCCACACAAGCAATTATTTACAATGTCTAATGATGCAGCACTCTTAAAAAGGACAATTAATAAAGAACCTCTAGTTTCCAGTATTAAGTTCCATGAATCTGGTATGATGGAGAGGAAAGTCATAACAGCAAAGAAAAATTTGAAAAAAGATAATAAACCTGACTGAATTAGGGATAAAGAAAATAGTTCTGGGATTTTCCTGGAACCAGCTTAACTAAAATTCTCAATGATAATAATATTCCCTTAAATCTTCTAGTATAGTATTTACAATAGACATCTCACTAATAATAAAATAGTTGTTTTAGAACTCTTACCAAGAGTCCTATGCTAATCACTTAACTATTTAAAAGAACAGAAAAGATAAACTTAAAAAACTAAACCTAAAAGTAAAATAATTAAAATAATCTTGGATGCTCTTGCATCATTCTCTCCGGGTTAAAAAAAAAAACTCGATTCCGACGATTAAACTTTAGCTACCTCAGCCATAATATGTGACATACATAATATCATCTATGTTGGCCCTACATCGAATATTCCCAAGAAATTTGATCACTTTAATCTTGTAAAAGAACTTAGAAGTATCATCCCAGCCTATGAGGAAAACAATAATAGCTCTATTAGCTTCATGGAAACAGATATATTTAATTGCAGCTGGATACCAAGGAAAACAAACATGCAAAATTATTAACGAAAAGTCCTCTTTCATGAATTTCAACCACTAGCCATTGGCTTTCTCTAGAACCCAGTAGAACTTGATTTTCAGTTACTGCTTTCAGAAACTCAACTTTCATGTTGGTTGCTGGTACTTTTTCTCCGAAATTTTGCATTGCCATCAAACTGTAACTCGCCTTCAAGTATTCCTGCCTTTTCTTGAGTTCTACTTTGAATTTTCCCTCATTAGAATGTGTTTCTGTTGTAAAAATGGAACAGTATCTGTTTATTCCAAAACAATCATCCGACATTGAATCATTTGAGATATCAAGAAGATCTTGCTTCCAATCCTTCCACTCTTCTAAAGTTTTGGTTGTCATTATGAACTACCAAAGACTCCTTGAATCAGATACACGCCAAATTCTCTCCACTTTCATCATAGATCGGTTCCAACATCCTATCTTACCAATATCAGATTCATAGTAAGACTACCTTCTGGTTGGTCAAACTGGTTGTGGGCAGCTTCTGGAGTCTCTTTTTGGGTTTCCACATGTACCTGTCTTTGCAAGTCTTGCAAACTTGCCATAGTTCATTCTTGCATGTCATCTCTGCCTACTTCATGTGTCGGTCTTGATTTCCTCTTGACACGACCTCTATTATTTCCTACCCTTCAGCTATTCTCGATATGAACCTAGGATGTAAAAGGCTTTGATAACCAATTTGGTGGAGAGTAAAGTCAAAACGACAGATAAAATTGAAAACAAAATAGTGAAACTAATTGAATTGGTGATAAGAAATGGTTATGGGATTTTCCAACAACCAGGTTTATTAAAATTCTCAATGATCCGCTAAAGCTTCTCGTGTAGTATTTATAATAACTCACTAATAGTAGAATAGTTGTATTAGAACTCTTACCGTGTCCTACGCTAATCAGATAACTATCTAAAAGAACATACTGATAAAAAAACTAATGGAAAAACCTAAATAAAAAACCAATCCTAAAAACAAAATAATTAAAATAATCTTGGATGCTCCTGCATCATGGTAGAAAAAGATGAATCAGTTGTATTTTTTGATTGTCTGAACTAGGTACTATAGAAAATTCTTTGTTCTATTTTTAGCCTTTGGTATTATCTCAATTACTGTTGAGTGTCTGATATGATAATGTATCTTAAATGGGTTTATTAAAAATGTTAATGTTTTCCATGTGTTTGGAATGCCTTTGAAGAGTATATCCTTATAAACACATTTAAATGTGCATGTGTATAACTAGATATACAAAGAAAAATGAAGAGTCGGAGTAACTTGGTTTAAATGTGGTTATGTAGAAAAGAAGTATGTGTCCCTTTTTATTAGATTAGATCTTGTTTTCATTTACAGATGGATGCTCTAATCTCACATAGCTCAAGAAGCTACTATGCTTGTGTCGGAGAGAGTACTCGAGCTTTTCAGAGCCCTTCGAAGGACCTAACTGCCATCAACAATCACTTGAACGGGTATTCTTCTCTTCTGTCCTTAAGTTGTAAAACTGTTAAACATAGAATTTCTTAACTAATGATGATGTCGTTTTCTTTGTTGCTTTTAGTAGCCGGAAGATCAGAGGGGCACTCAACTTCGACGACGTTGATGTCGGCTTGGTTAGTGATTCTATGGTTGCAAATAGCCTTTACATGCAGAACGGGAGCTGCACATCCTCATCTGGTGCACCTTTAAAGTCCGAGCAACCGGAATCTTAGCGCAGTACAGGTAATTCCTTGTAAATTCTGCCCCTCTTCTGTATTTTTCTTGGATTCTACGTGTGTAAGTTCATTACCGGGGGTACTTATGAGCGGTGAGTTAGTGTTGAATTAGCCGCCACCTCCCCCTTTCTGTTTACGAATGTTAGCTAACACTACTTTTTAGCTTGGCCAAACAAATTGAATAAAATTTGCCTGTTTATAGCCAAAATACACGTTCAATGCTCTTTAGTTTTAAGGGGTAATTCTCTTGGGGTATATTGTAGGTAGGGTTTAAATGAATCGAATTTGAACAAGCAAATTTATGTTCCTTTTCAATTGTTTATTTTTAAAGGTGTTCATGTTCGGTTCGTACTTGTTTATTTATTTTTGGATTAATTCCAAAATAAGTGTCCAAACTATACATTTTTCTCAAATACGTGCCTAAACTATTTTGACTCATCGCGGTGCCTAACGTTACAAACATTACCCATTCAGGTGATTGGGCCGTCAACGGTGTTAATTTTCCGTTAAATGACAATTGTCACTTAAAAAACATACATTTTGAAATAAACCAAAAACTTTGAAAACATCTATTTCAACTCCAAAACTCACGCCAATCATCGCCTTTTGCCATTGACGAAGCTCTACTCGATTTCCTCTCCCCCAGCAACCATAACCCCTATGAAATTGTGATCGATCGACGATGAATCAACATTTTATACCTCACGAATCTTATGATGAAAATCGTAGTCTAACGCAATTCCAATGGCCAATCGATGGAAGCTATGGTGGCGTATGAGTAGGAGGGTGGCAGGAATTACGTCGGTGGCGGTGGTCGTGATCGGAAAGGACGACTGCGGCGGATTAAGATTAGAATTTGAGATTTTGGTGTTATTTTATAATATAAGAAAAGTTAGTATTTTTATAAATATCATAATATTTTTAATATTTTAAAAAAAAATCAAAATTATCAGATTGTGACATGTGTCACCTAACGGGGAAATTAACTACGTTGACGGTCTGGACACCTAAATTAGTAATGTTTGTAACATTAGGCATCTAGATGAGTCAAAATAGTTTAAGCATCTATTTAGAAAAAATGGTATAGTTTGAACACTTATTTTGATATTAAGCCCTTTTTTTTAAGGTATTCATATTCGTTCGTTTAGTTTTTGTTAACATATTCATTTAATGTTTGTTTATGAATGTATTCATTTAACGGTAAGCATTTTCATTTTCTGTCGCAAACATTAATTTTTCATATGGTAAAATTTCAATTAAATAAAGAACCCCAAATTCCCAACATTATTAAAAAAATATCTTTCAAGTATTTGCAGCTAATTGATATGTACAATGACATATTCGAACATAGAAGTTCAAGAAAAGGTTAAAGAATATTTGGGAATATTATAAATAATGTCGACATAGAAGCCGTATTAAAAAAACGAAATAAATAAACCAATGAAGTCTAACCACATAATCATATTTTTCCAACCAAATGTCCAAGTTTTCGGAGTCGCAAGAGTCTGCGCACATGTTTCTGTCCATTCCCCGTTACAATGAACCGAACATAAATAAACAAAATTAAAATATTAAAAGCACTTTTTTTTAAATAAAACTAATTAATCAATCTCGAGATTATTTTTTATCTTCTGAATCCTACTTTTAAGCATGATATTTATATAATTGTATGTATATTTATTGTCAAATGAATGAAAATTTTTCGAACATATATTATTTTGTATTTATCTATACTAATAAAAAATGAAATTCATCATTATTATTAAATTATTATTATTGGAGTTAGCATCTACTTGCCTAATATAACAAATTTTAATCTTATATAGATTTACGGCTGAGATTAAACATTTTTTATTTTAAAAAATATTTTAAATGAAATGTTGAGTGATAATATATGGTTTATTTACTATAAATTAAAATTTAGATGTAATGAATAAATAAACTAAATCATTGTCTCTTTAGATCTGTAGTTTTTATTTTTAGTTCTCCATTCCTTCTTGTAACCTTCCATTTTCTTTGTCAAGATAAAATTTCCAACACCTTTTCGTTGCATTTTTCGTATCTCCTTCCTCGAAATCAGCTTCCGTACTACAACGGATAACCTTAAATTGTTAATGTTTATATAAACCCTAAACCGTACTCATATTATTTCCCACTTCATCCATCGTAAGTGTCTTCACTTTTCTTTTTCTTCTTCCAAATTTAACTTCCGTCATGGATGCACTAGGCGTTCGTCAAAGGAAAAGTAATAAGCAGTCCAATAGAAGGAATTCTAACGAAGATATCAAAGTGGTTTATATCTCGAGTCCCATGAAGGTGATGACATGTGCCTCGCAGTTCCGAGCTCTCGTGCAAGAACTCACCGGAAAGGACTCCGATGCTGCAGTCAGATTCATGGATGACCACGACAACGTCTCTGATAATTCTCCTACCTATTCCTATTCCGATTCAGCGAGGGTTCATGGTCATGGTGTTCTTGGATTGCCTTGTGCAGATTTCAATCACCAATTCATGTTTGAATCATTTCATGATGGACTTATCTCGGAAGGGGATTTATCGAAAATGTTCACATCAAATTTGTTTCATGATCTTTAGATTAACATTTTCAGAAATTTTGAGTAAATTTAGTTAAATAATAGTATGTTAAAAAAATGAAGGTGACATATATATGTAATTCTATATAAATCTCAGTTTATTGAGTATTTAGAATAGATATTACACCTTGTAAGCACAAAGATTAATAAAAAAAATCAAGTTATTAAATAAAATGTTTATATTTACAAGTTATACCGTTAATTTCATTTTTTTTACAATTTAAATACATGTAAATAGATAATATTCACTCTTATTTTCTCTCTTTAATTTCATCTCCATAGAGAACATAGTATCGGCCATTTTCCGTTCAAAACTACATGGAAGGAAATGACAAAAAAAAGCAACTAATTGTTTGTTATTTAGTTTTGTTTAATAAGAACCAAACTTCTTTGTGAACCTTCTTGTATGGATTTTATAAAGTTGTTAAGTTGGTTAAAATCAAAATTCAAAGTTAGTACTTGAACGGATGGCTGCCCTAGAGGTAATCTAATCTACAACATGATATATTTTTCTGAATATGATTAAGGATGTTAATTTAATTCGATTTCGAAGAGTCTCGACTCGTTCTGACCCGATAGGAGCGGATTTTTTCTTTTAAATTATGAGTTCGGGTTCGTATTGAATCGAATTTGGTGAACAATATTTTTGTGTTTAGGTCGGGAACAGGTTTGGGATAAAAAAATCTCCGATCTGACTTGACAAATTTTTTTAATTATTTTATATAATTATAGTATTTACAAAAATATTACCATATATACATAATACTTTAGGGTTTATCCCACTTCACTTCTCTTCTTATGTCGCATATTTTAACTTTCCCCTCAAATTTTCTTCCTTTCCTGTAACACCCTAAACTCGAATGGGCTTAAAGCATCACATTGGGCCCTTCGAACCAACCCCTGATTGTGAAAATATGTTTATTTTCATTTCAAACATACTGAAAGGTATGGTAAAAGACATAAATAACAGTTATAAAACATTCTATAAACCGGTCCATGACACATAATTTAAAATCAAAATAGTACAAACTCATAGTTGATAAACCAAATACATAAGTAAGATCCTATGAATACATTTACCCACTAATGCTACAGTATGATACTTTGAAGGATATGCTAGAAGTCCTACTGCGATGGTGCTCTATGAATGGCTCGAGGTACTGACCTGCGAAAGAAAAACATCCAAGCGTTGAGCTTACAAAGCTCAGTAGTATAATCGCTAATATAGAGTAGCATTATGAGTCCCCATAAACATAAGCATACTAAAGACATGGTACTACTCTATAGGTACATGAATGATCTTAATCAAGTGCTACCTCCTTCAGGCTCAACTGTTATATTACTAAAGTAGGAGTCTTACGCTTCCCTTAATCCTCTGCTAAGGTCTCGTCATGAGTACACCTCTAAAGAGTCTCTAACCCTAATGACTGTAACTCATACGCATTATCTAAATGTGAAACTCACACTCATGTGCATTATATAAATGAACAATGACTCTATTTTGCATTATCTGAATGCAACACTGTTGTATCTAGTCTTACATAGCCATCAGACACTAATTAACTGAGGGAACCCAATGTCACATAATATCGTTGAAATTTCTACTAAGCTACTAAATGATCTCTTGGCTCTCACATAGCCATCAGGTAGATCATGGAGGGGGAACCCCGTGTCACATAGCATCAGTACAATTCCAGCTCAACTGAAGTATTGGCTCGATCTCACATAGCCGTCAAGACAAGCTTTAAGGATATCTGTTATACTAGACTGATGCAACTATACATACATATCTAAGGGCCCGAAGGCCACACAACATTAACATCGCTAACTCGCTCCTCATGAGTGTTCAAGCCTGGCGTCCTAGTTAGCCACTAAAGTGCCTTACACACTGACAATGCCCCACTAGGGCAACTAAGGTAGCCTGGCTACACCCTAGCATAGCTGGACACACTAAAGTGAGGTCGTCCTCTTACTAGCTGTTATCTCGCTCGTTATCTCATCTAGAACATTATGCAAGATTTATTTAATATGTTACTACTATTAGTTTATCAAGCTGCTTTATTATGGTCATTCGTTACTTAGGGCGTTTTAGTTATTTATCTCTAGATAAGTCTCAACGTGTTTTGTGATTTTACAATGATTATTGTGCTTGTTGTTCGTCATTTTTAACACTAGCTAGCCCGATATCTGACTCGAGTTCAATAATGGGTAGCGACACTCTAATCGCTCTTATTATATTTCCTTCAATTCACCCTCGAATTGGAGGGACAATTGTACACTCACTATTCGCTGACATTATTGCAGTATTCACTCTACTATTTCATAATCTGATTATTTCGTCATAGTGCTTGTTAGTACCTCCTTTGTAATGGTCCTTAATTCTTAGGTAAATTCTACATGCTCAACTGAATATACTTGTATGCATTACGCCTACAATGGTTATTTTGGTTGTAACCCACTCATGTGAGTGTTTCTAAGCCCCTTTAGCCATTTATGTCCCCCACGGACTAAGTTCTAGCTTTACGAACCATCCTTAGATCTTACAGGCCTTAAATAGGTCAAATCTAACCACCCAAAGTGAGTAATATTGATATTCTAGGGTTAAGTATCGATACCCCTATGAGTATCAGTACAAAATATGGCCTAATATCGATACTTAATACCCTAAGTATTGATAATGTAGGGGCAATATAGATACTACCAGTTGAAAATCCCTAATTTTTGTCCTAATTCATCCAATATGGACATTGTTCATTCAATACCGATACTTGAACCCAAAAATATCTTATTTAAGCTTAAAAAACCCCAAAAATCATCCCAAATGTCTTAGTTTGGTTTCTAATCATGTGATAAACCGTTAAGAAGTTATGTAATACCCCAACCCGTACCCGACCCGGATACGAGTCCGAGGTGTCACATTGACTTTTCAAACTTTGACTCTTGACAAAATTCAAAGAAAATTTAAAACTTTCCTTAGAGTAAAAGCAGTTTAGTTACATAATTTTACCACAATAACCAAAATTGATCAGAGCATATTTAACTCAATCAATTAGTACATGCCAACTATATTCAAAATAACAAAAATCATTTAACTCATCTATTTTCTGATCTGAAATCTTGTAAGGGAGATGCTGACCTGTATTACTCTTCTTCTCTTCTCTTCTTGCTTCTGTACCCTACGTGTGAAACAATCACACGCTAAGTCGAAGACTTAGTGAGGCATAAAAACTTATAATGCACTTTATAACATATATCAATACATGCATGTTCTGTTCTATCCTTTTATACCAACTTACATGATTCCCTCGTATCATATAAAATCATATCAGATTAATTACAGTAAATACATACATACACATATCTCATCAATAACAGTTTATCATGTAATCACCTACTTTTATGCTTAACCTTTTCAATCAAACACTATACACACACAACATCATATCAGTTCAATAACATTTATCATATCACTAACATATATTTGTTTATATCTCTTGATTAGCCCATGTACATATGTGAGAACTATATATATGTGAGTTTATGGAGGTTGTGCACTAATGCTGTCACCACAGCTCATATAAATGCACCGAAGTGCCACATAGAATTGCACCGTAGTGCCGCGTAGAGTTGCACCGTAGTGCCATATAATAATGTCCATAAGGACCACATATCATTCCTTAAGAATCATATACATATACTAGGGATCAAGTATGTGTCTCACCAGACTTCACACATGTTCCAAAGAATACATATATATCCCGAAGGACCACATATCATTCCTTAAGAATCATATACATATACTAGGGATCAAGTATGTGTCTCACCAGACTTCACACATGTTCCAAAGAATACATATATGTCCCGAAGGACCACATATCATTCCTTAAGAATCATATACATATACTAGGGATCAAGTATGTGTCTCACCAGACTTCACACATGTTCCAAATAATACATATATGTCCCGAAGGACCACATAGACCCTCGACTCTTGGCATGCCAACTATACCCCTAGCTCTCAAGACACATAACATGGGCATTTTCTTTTATATTTATCATTTCACATAACACATAGTTCAATTACTCATACAACATTTTCATATGAGTCACATTTACATGTCACATAGCTTATATACTTTCTCGCGTAGTTACATAGATCCATGTCATATAACATATATCCCAAAGTGCATATAATCACATATATCATATCATATAGCTTAGATCATTTCTCAGATATTCATATATACATACATATCATATCATATCATATCTTGTTCACATATGATCATATATGCTTCATATAACACATAGAAACACCTAGAACACTTTCTCATAGCTTATATCAATTTTCAGAGTCCTTTCATATTACCTGATGACATATATCATATAGATATATAATAACTGATATCATATTATCTACCTTATGCTCCATTTCTTCGTATTCCCTTTTTCATATCATCATACATTTAAATATTCTTATATGTCCTATCAATATCCTATAAACTTACTCATATTCTCATATATCGTATTTTAATATAATTTGTATAGTAATACTCTATAATTGTATCATATAATGATTTTACCCAAGTACTCCTTTATAAAGTTTATATTACATGTTCAATTAGTCTCATGCTATCTTATAAATAATTTCCACTTATTTTATATCCTTTTCCTTTTCCACTCACATAAACCATCTATTTTTTTAGTTCCATTTCTCATGACTTCCACAATACTTTTTAATAAAACTTTGTAGCTCTTCACTATAATACATAAACCATAGTTTCCTTTAATTTATGAATCTTCCCTATATAACTTATGTATCCTTATTTATGCCAACGAATTCATACTATTCTCTTAGAGTCTCCTAACATTTCTCGTATAATCACTTATACCATATCATATAACTTATACTTGATTATCTTATTCTCTCATGTTCATTTCATTTCTTATGACTCTATCATATAACTTATTCCATGTTCTTCCATTATTACATAATAAAGTCTTACATAAATTATATAGCATATACAAAGCATATCATTATCTTTAGTCATGCATACATACAATCAATGTAATACAGATA